AACTTGTCTCATCTTTGCCATGGAGAAGTGTCTATACTTGTCGTCATATGACATTTCATTTGCTTCACCACCTTGTGGTTGGTTTAAGTCTCTTAAGATTTTTATACAACTGTCAATGACACCAAGAGCAGAATGGTTTTGGTCGACAATGAAATATTGGTTTACATTTTTTGAACGCAGATAGTTTTTAATATCGTCTGATTTGAAAGAACTTTCACAGTCAGATGTCAGTTTTGTTGGATGGTATTTGTCAACGAATATTGTCAAAGCAGTTTTCACATCTAAAATATTTTTGGACCATAATGGTATGGCTTCACAGTATCTTGTGTTTTGACCAACAAATATTAGCCAGTATGGTGGTCCATCTGTTCTAACTCTCGGAATGTTTTCCATGATATCCATAAACCAAGCATTTGGTGTTGAACTAAAGATTTTTACCATGAGTGCTTTCTTTGTTGCTTTAGAAACATACGGGTCCTTGTTTGAATTCGTCATTTTTAACCCATAAGAAATGGGTTTATTTGGCGCATTAGCAGGAGTCGCATCTAGATTTTTACCCGCAGTGGGAACACTAGCCAGAGGTGTATTTGGAGTTGGAAGGAAGATTTTGAGTACTTTAGGTATACTGAAAGAGAAAGCACAACCTATTATACAAACTGTACAGAAAGGTTGGGAGGTAGCACGAGATGCAGCAAATCTTATTCCAAATCCTGAAACAAGAGGAAAAGTTCAAGGATGGATGGACAATGTAGGAAGACAAGCAGGAAACTACTATAACAAAGCAAATGACTACTATAACCAAGCAGGGCACTACATGGACCAAGGTGAAAGATTCTTTAACAGAGGATATAACCATGCACAACAGTGGGTAAACAACAACCAACCGCAACCACCTCAAACGTGGGGAATGTAAAATTTTTTACTGGGATGAAATGAACAATACAGCATTGAGACAAATGGGCTCAAGATGGCTTTGTCGGCTTCCAGCAGTTACACAACCACGTGTTTGTCAAGTTCTTCCTATACCTCAGGAAGTTTTAGACCGACTTAAAAAACCTCAACAACCAGTTGAAAACAAACCAAACTAAAATTTTTTACTGAGATGAAATGACCGAAGAAGTTGAAACGGTAGATTTGACACCACAAACAAAAAGTTCAGAACCATTGTCAAAACCTGTCAAAGAACTTACAGATGAAGAGAAAAATTCAATAATAGAAAGTGCCAGGTCTGGAAATACAAACCCTAACTACAAAGTCACTTTTCATAAAAATGGAACGGCTAGTATCTCAAAAAAGAAACAGACTCTCACAAATAAAATATTGAAGTCTGAAGGAGCTTTCGAGACAACAGATGGAAAAGTTTACTTCACTGACCAACAGTTCATTATAGAACATCTCATTGACTTAGAGTCGAAATATTCTAAACTTTACAACAAACACAAAAAGTTGAAAGGAAAACAGAAACAAATGGCATATGACATTTATGAAGATGTTGACGACACAACTATTCCAGCAAGTGAGGTAAAGTCAAATGAACCGAAAAATGACGAAAAACCAATAGAAGAAGAAAAACCAAAAACTGAAGATAAACCAAAACCAAAGTTTAGTTTGGAGACTAAAACAAGTCAACCTTCATTAGCTGGTATGGGTTGGCGTCAAAGACTTTTGGCAGCGAACGGTTATGTAAAGTAAAGGAAAAACATTTTTTTTATTTTTATTTGAAATGTACGCTGAGTTTGTTGGAGAAGACCGTTGGGAAACTTGTTTGTTAGATGAGAAATATGAAATGGCATACCATTTAAAACAAAACATTTTTTTCAAAAAAACATTTTTTTATTTTATTTGAAATGTACGCTGAGTTTGTTGGAGAAGACCGTTGGGAAACTTGTTTGTTAGATGAGAAATATGAAATTCACTGTTGTGAGTCATTTGAAGTCAGAAAAAAAGAGACAAAAAGAGTTTTAAGCGAATGTGAGCGAAATGACGGATATGCTATGATGAGGATGAGTGGGAAACGCTATTTAAAACATGTTGTCATTGCAACTCATTTTATACCGAATCCTAACAATTTACCTTTTGTAGACCATATAAACCGTATAAGAAACGACAATAGACTTGAAAACTTGCGTTGGGTCACTCGTTCTGAAAACAATAAGAACATAGGCAAATTTGGAGATATTGTATTCGAATTTGTCGACGAACTAGAAGATGAAACAATTGAAATTACAGACTATGGCGAGCATACGTTTGAGTTTTACTACTATAGCGAAGAACAAGACTCTTTCTACTTTTATACCGGCGTAAACTATAGGAAATTACAAGTATATTTTACTAAGGATGGCTATGCTCATGTAAACGCTAGAGATACAGATGGAAAATACGTTCATATACTTCTTAACAAATTCAAGAAGCTATATGGCATACCATTTTAAAACGTTTTTAAAACAGTATATTTTTACATATATAAAATGCTTCAGGTTGAAAAACAAAGAACAAAAGTAGCAGATACAAAACCGTTAGACTATATCTTTACAAACGCTGGCAGGACTATATCAGATGAAGAAATTTCATCCCGAACATACAGGTTTGACTATCCAATTCGTTGGCTTCAAAGTCCTTCAGATGCAAAGGCAATAGGATTTAGAAGAGTTTTGTTTTCAAATAGAACTAACGCGTTTATGTTCGCAGTATATTTTCACGGTCAGTATAAAGGTTCTGATGGTCTAATAGAAAAATTTGACGAAATGAAAATCTTTACAATTCGTTCAGACGAAAGTCTTGAAAAAACTCTAAATGACTTTCAAACTCAAATAAACAAATACTACTGGGAATTTCAAGAAAAATACGACTCTTTACTAAATGGAACATACTATCTGAAGCTAGAATACGACAAGATGAACTCCACAGTTTCATTTCAAAAGATTGAAATTAACCCTCCAAGAGATACAGAGTTTTTATATTGGGGGGTGGACAGGCGTTCTTGGGCACAATTTCTTCGGTTACTAAACCAGAACGAACCATTACCACCAGATGGTCCATTTAAATTTGTACTTCCACCAACAGATTTGACAGTTTATAGAAACGTATTTGACCCTCAAAATGTCATGTGTCATGCAAGTTTCAGTTCAAGCAACAACAGTTTTCTATGTATCGGTAAGGACTTCTATGACTTTGCTTCTAAATTCTACGAACCACCTAGTAACAGTTTCTCTGACTTTCAAGTCTGGTTCACAACAAACGGTGTGCAGCATATTATTCCACTATACTATGACTTTTATCTCGAATTGTCTTTCATATACAACTACGGAAAAGTGCTGAAAAAGTATTGAAAAATATATTTTAGGTGAAGTGGTGAGATCTCACCTCTTTTCTCACCTGTTTTTTCACCCTCTTGAATTTTCATGAATTTCCTTAAGATAGAAAAAAAGTGAGTTAAAATGAGATTTTTATCGTTGTGGTCCGACGGTTAAGCCACAAACGAATGTCCAACGTCCCACCAAAAATATTTTTTATTTTTATTGTAAGAACAGTATGACAGTCGAAGCAAAAACGTTCACGAACAAATCTAATGGCGAAACATTCACAAAAGGCACCTATAACGGTATTGAAGTCTTACGTAGAGACAAGGATGGTTATATAAATGTAACAAAGATGTGTCAGCAGTTTAGGAAAGACTTTAGAAAGTTGTTGGAAAATAAGTCCTGGGAAGAGTATTATAAGGCATTTTGTGAAGAATATACCAATCGCCGGAATTCCGGCTATTGCTTTTTATACAAAATGCGTGCAGGAATTCCGGATGAAATCAAACAGGTTAGAGGAACGTATGTAGACCCAAGACTTCTAAACTATATAGCAATGTGGGCTTCTCCAAAATATTGTATAACAGTTGGAAAAATTATGGACTCCATAGACAAGAAAGTTCATGAGAAATTAGATGAAGAAGAACTTGAAGATACAGTAGAGAATGCAAAACCTTTGTTCGAACAAGAAGTTAGAAAAATGCGTTTAAAACAAATAGAACATGAACGTGAGATATGTTCTGGTTATAGAGACTCTCCATACGAACTAGACCAATGGGAACAAGAAGATTTAAAGAGAGAATTTAGAGAATATGAACTCGCTAAAGTTTCATTAGAAGCTGCAGAAGAGAGGTTAAAAGTTTGGGGTCCTTTTGTACAAAAATATTGTGAGTAAATGAACCATTTTATTTTTATTGAATTCGGCAAAAATATATTTTAGGTTAGATGGTTTTTAGATCTCACCAGGTCACCAGGTCACTCGGTCACTCGGTTAAACGAACTTCTCTGAAAAAGTGTGACAACATGACATTTTGACAACAACACAGGAAATAAACTTCATCGTCAATGTTTTGTATAAAAAGCAATAGCCGGAATTCCGGCGATTGGTATATTCTTCACAAAATGCTTGTTTTGTTGAGACTTCATCGTCAATGTTTTGTATAAAAAGCAATAGCCGGAATTCCGCGGGGTGGTATATTCTTCACAAAATGCTTGTTTTGTCAAGACTTCATCGTCAATGTTTTGTATAAAAAGCAATAGCCGGAATTCCGGCGATTGGTATATTCTTCACAAAATGCTTGTTTTGAGGTCGAGCCAAAAGTGGCTCCACCGTATTTTTCAACCAAAACTCGTTCATTTTGTTGTTCCCGGACCAAAAAATATATTTTAGGTGAAGAGGTGAGATCTCACCTGTTTTCTCACCTCTTTTCTCACCCGTTGAATTTTCATGAATTTTCCCGAAATAAAAAAAGTTAGTTTTTTAAAAAAAATATTTTTTATTTTTATTGTAAGAACATGTTAGCAACAACAGCACCAAACTCGTTAGTCATGAACCCAACATCTATGTTAGTAGAGATGAAAAGCTTCATTCCTTCTTCATATACTTTCGAAACAGAAATCCAGAAGATAAAGCAGGAACTTCTCCAAGGAGATTTAGACTGTAGTGCGAAAGATGAAACAAATGAACAATATCTTTATGAAATGCAGGATATTATTGACCATCTACCTAAACTTCCTGAAATACAACAACAAAAGCTTACTATTCCAGAATTCGATGAAATAGAAGTCAAAGCAACTGACTCAGTAGAAACCAAGAAGTTCATACGTAAGGTAAACTATGAGTTTCTTGGATTTCATTGCAACCACAAAGTCATGGACAAAGACTGCGATATGGTATATAAGAACATCTCTGACATATACAAATCTGAAGAATTTAAGACCTACGACAACTTTGTTTCGTTAGTTGCAAAATGTGTATGGCAGATAAGAGATAAAGATAAAAGAGGTAAAGTATGGAACGAACAGATAAAACCAGCAACTTTTGAGTTAAAGAAAACCATTGACGCCTTAGTCATACTTGCAGGTTTTATTTCAATGTACAATGCTAAAATGAACCCACAATGTTCAAAATGTAAAGCAGCAATGAGGAAATATAACTACTCCGTCAAAGAGATAGAAAGAATGCGAAACGACTATGCAGATTTAAAGAAAGAAGCAGAGAAACCAGCAGAAGATAAAATGGACATGTTGACATTTCTGAACAAAAACTATCCAACTGCTGACGATTTCCTTCTATCTGATGTCAAGAAGAAATATAAAGAAACATTCGGCATAGTTAAAACTTTTGACATACTGACAGAAGAAATAGAAGCTACAAAACTGTTTAGAATTTCAAATATACATCGTACAATTCATGTAAGACGCTTGTGAAAAAGAGGTGAGAAAAGAGGTGAGAAAACAGGTGAGATCTCACCTCTTCACCTAAAATATATTTTTGCTGAGTAAAATGACCAAATTTCATTATATAACTGTTATGAGTGACGAAGTGAACTTTTACTCTTCGTAAAAAAAAAACATATACGAAGAAATCTATTTCCTGGACTGTTGTCAAAATGTCATGTTGTCACACTTTTTCAGAGAAGTTCATTTGACCGAGGGACCGAGGGACCGAGGGACCTGGTTCCACCTAAAATATATTTTTGCTGAAAAAAATGACCAAATTTCATGAATTTCCTCATATGTTTGCGACCGGTGGAAAACCGCGGGTCGAGATTCCGTACGAAAATCGTAAAAAAAACTCATGAAAATCGTGAAAAAATGCTACCCCGACTTTTACAGGGGTTGCCTAAAACTCATGAAAATCGTAAAAAAACTCTATGAAATCATATCTTTTATACAAGATAGAAAAAATAAAAAAACAGCGTTAGTTTTATTTTTTTTTATTTTTTTATTTTGTATGTCAGAACAGGAAATGACAAGCACTGAGTTTGAAACAGTTAAAAAGATAGACAATGACACCAAAGTGGTTAGAATAGGTGATTTAAACGTAAGATACTCAAAGAAATACAAAAAATATTCTTTGTCAGACATTTTAACACTATCTGAAGGAAAGAAAGCACACGACTGGGTTAGAATTGCTTCTACTCAGAAAATTTTTGACAAGAAATCCTGAGCTGATGATATCGGTAAGATTCTATGGAACTACAGCATATATCTTTAGACAAAAGTCTTATACAGTAGTTTTGTTCTGGATTGACCCAGTTGTTGGATATAATTTCATAACATATGGTTCATTCGATACAGAACGTTGCAGTGAGGGCTTACTTTACATCGTTCAGAAACCGAAGGACTTCAATACAAAGAGATATAAGATAGGAAGAACATTTAATATAACTCAAAGATATGACAGTATAGTCAATAGAGTTAAGGTTGCGTTTGTTAACGATATGAGAGCTGCTGAAACAGAACTACTTGAAAAGTTTGAGAAAATGTATGGTGCTCCCACGAGAGGTAAAGAAACGTTTGAAGTAGATGAGATAGGTAAAGCTATAAAATTATTTGACGAAGTTGCTGAAAAATACATGTAAAGCGTTTATTTTTGGTCTTTTATACAAGATAGAAAATAACGCTAATTTTATTTTTATTTTATTTTTTATTTTGTATGTAAAGACAGATATGACAACATCAGAGAACACAACAACTGCTATCGTTCATGAAGCCATAAGTGAAGAATACGAGTACATACAGTTTAACAAACAGTTACGTCTCATTCGTTCGGTCAAAGATGACATGTACCAAATGCAAAGTATTTTGACAGCATGTTTTGCTCCAGATACTAAGCTTCCTAAAGACTGGTTTAGGAACCAAAGCACTATTGAACTTTTGAGCGAAGCACAGCGAGACAGACTTTTTTCTGAAAATCGTGAAGAACAGCGAGTGGGAGAAAAACCCCAGTCGCCAAAACTCTATGAAAATCGTGAAAAATTGCGAGGGAGAAAACCCCAGTCGCCAAAACTCTATGAAAATCGTGAAAATTTGCCAAATGGTTTGAGAGGTTGTATGTACATAGACTTCTTGTAAATGCTGTTGCAATGTGGGCTTCACCTCGTTACGCTTGTATATTTACAGACTTCTTGACGAACTTCATAGACAAGAACGTGAAGAGCTAGAGAACAAGCTTGAAGCAAAAGACAAAAACATACAGAAAAGAATACCACGTTCGGTACCAAAAGGAAAGGAAAAGAACTATAAGTATATGATTTACACTGAAGAGATGGAAAATGAAGAAGACAGAGATATGGTTATGTTGCATTTAGTCAGAAGAAACAACAAAAGCTTTTACGACTTAGCTAAGATTTACAAATCTGACAGAAATTGGTTCTATCGCGAAAACTTACCGATTTCAATGACACCAAATGAAGATGTTAAACAGATAGTTCAAGATACGTTACCTCAAACACACTATGATATGAAAGGTTGTACAATACTTACATTCAAAGAAGACTTACCGCTACTGAAGGAAAAAATAACAGAGTATTTCGATAACTTCAAAGAGGAAGAGTAAATGAACCATTTATTTTTCAAGCTTGACACCAAAGATGGCTCAGGTAGCTCTATCAGGTAAATTGTCTTGTCCGAGTCCTTCTGGCATTCCGAGTCCTTCCATCCGACAGGAAAAGTTTTTCTTCCAACAGGAAAAATTTCCTTCAACAGGAAAAGTTTTTCCTTCCAACAGGAAAAAATTTTCTTCCACAGGAAAAAATTTTCCAGTTGTCGTCCGTAAACCATTCAAATTTTCGAAAATTGAGAACTTTTTGGCCGACCTTCAGGAAAAATTTTTCTTTCGACAGGAAAAAATTTTTCTTTCCGACAGGAAAAGTTTTTCTTTCCGACAGGAAAAGTTTTTCTTTCCGACAGGAAAATATTTCCTTCCAACAGGAAGTTCTTCCTTCGACAGGACACAAACGAATGTCCGACGTACCAACCAACCGAGTCCATTCCAAAGCCAGAAGAACCGACAGCCCAGCACCACAACAGACAAGACTCAAACTTACATTTTTACGCTTGACTTTTTACAATTTGAACTTTGTTTGCGTAGATGTGAATTCTGAAAGAAGTATGAGGGTCTTGTATGACTTTGTACTTCTCCATAGTTCATGTCTGTCAAACTTACCTGCCATGGACTCTTTCATAAGTTCCATGAAATCGTCTTCGGACAATCCGGGGAAAAGTACAATGTCAGTAAGTATTCTCTTTACATCCTTACTTAAACTCTTGGCTGTCTGTACACAAATGACAACTGAGATGTTAAAGTGTCTGAGCTTCTTAAGAATTCGACACATGTCTTGTTCTCTATTCTTTAACAAAGGATGAGAAGCAAAGTCATCTAAGATAAGAAGACATCTGTGAGGGTAAGTCTTCCAATCGTAAGATTGCAATTTCTTCGAAATGTATTCTATCTCTTTCTGTTTGTTTCTGAAGTGTTTCTTCTCTAATATTCTCTGCATTTCCTCATTTGGTCTTTAACCGAATTGACATACTCATTTATAGCATTGTACTTCAAAACTCTTCTTTGGTACTTCTTTATCCAATCTAACAACTCAGAGTCTTTTATACATACTAACTTAGACTTTTTTTATAATATCTTTGAACGAATTTACGGTTTGGTCAATTGACCCGAAGTACTACAAATGACTACTAACTCATAGAATGGGTTCTTCTCATCTAGTTCTTGTTGTTGTGCAGCCATTTTAAGATAAGTGAAAGTCTTACCGACCAGGTGGTGCGATTAGACCTGTTATAACATTCTGAGCAAATAAGAACTTGTCATGTATGGGTTTTATCTGAGCATTTTCCAACTTCCTCTTGTTCTTATTTAAAACATTCTCAAATTTCTTGTCAATGTCAGCAAACTTTTTTTCTAACATATTTTTAGAAAAATTAAATTTTTATCTTTTCAAAATGTCTAGCGATTTCGCTATCTATATTCGAGACAAGCTTTTCGACAGCAAACATCTGTCGACCATAAAATCTTACATAGTGTAACAAGAAAGGTGAATTTGTTCTAAAGTTCTGTTTCTGGGAATATGACAAGAACCATAAAACCTTAAGCAGAGAAGTCTTAAAATTTGTCAATGACAGACTTGTTGACAGAGATGACGCCTCTTGGAGAGATGAAGTCAACAAAACTTCTTAGAATGCAAAGAAGACACATGCGCTGTTCTTGAAATGAAATAGAAACAGAATAGAAAGCTATTAAATGACAAAGCACTTTTACAAAAATATGGTTCTGAGAAGTTTGACATAACTCCACCAGAAAAGAAGAAGAGAAAAGGAAAGAAAAGAAGTAGAAAAGAGAGAAAGAACAGAGCCAGAGAAAAAGAAATTTGACATGTAAAAATAAAATTTTATTTTTAGAACATTTCTGGGTCAATGTCAATGTTCTCTTCCTCTTTAGGAGCAAACACTGCTTAGACTCTAAAATCTTTTACCCAATTTACCTTGAACTTCAACTATCTTAGACTCATAATATTCATAGTCGTCTGCTTTCTTTGGTTCATAAGGTATAACAAGTTTGTATGCTTTGCCTTCTTTAAGGTTTGAGAACCTTCTGTCAAAACTTTCTTTGACTGTCAACAAACCTTCTATGTCTAAGTCTTCAAATTTCGCACCATTTTTAGTCACAATAGCAAACTTAACTGGTTCGATGTTCCAAACTTTGTCAAATGTAGACTTTCAAATGGTAGAAGTAAACATTCAAAATATGTGAATGGGTCTAGTTCTTCTTTAAGTCCTGACATGTACTTGTTACTGAGATGAATTTTGTCATCTTTTTATCGGATAAAAAAATATTTTTTTTAAAATTACTCAGAAAAATTTTTCTTTGTATATACACCATTCTGTACGTCTAAAAGACTTTTGACATTTGCCAAGAATGTTCGTTTAGACGCTGTCATATAACCATACTCTTGACAATACTGTTTATACGAATCGTACAATGACCTTTCATCTAAACACTCAAAGTCAGTTTCATCTATGAACAGTTCATATACACTCTTGTTTGCTTCTAACAATGTTTGTCTCTCTTCGGTATGTGGAATTTGTCTTGGATTGAACTTTGAAATATCTAATGTCATGAAATATGAGAACAAGTGGTTGTAAAAGTTAGGTGTTAAAGTTTCTGCTAAGTCGTCAAAATATTCTGTATCTTGCATATGAGCTTCTGACGTTCTGACAACTACATATCTTCTGTCAGAACTTTCTAACTTCATCGGAACGGCGTTGTTTGAAACCATGATGAAATTTGCAACATTTTCACAAACTCTTTGGTCTTTATATTTTCTTTCAACAACTCCAACTTTGTCTGTTATAAGACTCTTCAAAGCATCTGAGTTCAAACCTTTTGTTGTATCTATACTTTGAAGTTCGTT